ATAACCACTTTTAGGATTTAAAATACCACCTATCCTCAGATCACTTCCACCAAAACATATATGACTAACTCGAGAATCAAATACTACTTTATCCACCATTGTTGGATTAATACGGCTTATTTTAGATATTATCGTGGGCTTTGATTGTATCTGATTGTTAATCAAATTGTTTGTCGAAATAGTATCATTAGCGCTGTTACTAATGTTGTTCATATTATTGGAGTTCATAAGATTTCCGTTCTTGAAACTAAATATAAAACTCTTTTTTGTTTCTGGGTCTACACTACCACTTTTATCCCATCCAGCTGGATTGTACCCACCGACAATTTCGCCGTTCCCCCTAGAAACTTTTGCCACAACAATTATACCTGGTTGGGAACCTATTCGTTTATGCAAATGTTCTAAATCAAACCCTTCCCTCGTTGCTCTATATAATAACCGAAAAGTATACGGAAATACATATGGGGAGGTAGCTATCGTCGATAAAGGTATAGTATGTGTAGAAGTTTGTTCAATGTTCGCTCTCTCAATCCAATTCGCCAATATCGATACATGCTCATTGGAAAGAATTTCAGAACTTATACGACGTCTTGGTGGAAGAAGTGATGATGATATTGTATAATCCCTAGAATTAAAATAAATTTGCAAATCATTCCAAAGTGAAGATGGAAAAATTTGTGAATAAGGTTTAATTTTAGAGTTAAAATCACTCAGTGAAATATCAGAAAATCGAATGTGATAAATTAATTTTTCAATAGTTTTTGATAATGCCTTAAATTCGTATTCATTCCATTTTTCAATATCATCAGCCTTACTAGTACCATTTTCAACTCCTAATTCCATAGTATTTACAATACCCCAATTCAAAACAAAACTCCAAACATCAATCTCACGCATCCTATTAAAATCATCTCTTTGTAAAATATCCATAAGCATATCTTCTTCAATGTTTATAAATTCTTCTGAATCAAATAACAAGTTGGGATTTTTAACAATTGCATTAATACAATAAGACTGCAATTGTTGACAAGAGGAATGGCTAACTATTGTTTGAAGTACTAAAGAAATATTAGATAGAACCCAATTTGAATGTTTATTTATTAAAAATTCTTGAGCATGTTCAAATAATTCATTAATAAGTAATTCATCTGATGCAATGATAAGATCCAAAATCTTGGAAGCTTTAAGCTGTTCTAATGAAGTTCTTCCACTGTATATATATCTGTTTTTATTATTTGATTTAATAATATAATTCTTTTATGAATAAAAAAAAAAATCCACAAATTATTTAATACCTTACTTTAAAATCACATCGAAAATATCATGAGAAAGATTTGGCTTTTTAAAAACAAACATTTCACCATTCTTTTTTGTCCATTCGCTTGAAAGTGCAGCTTTAAAGTAAGAACATCTAGCACGCAGAATTACGGAATGTGCATTAAATATTTTTGTATGTGGCTCTTCACCAATTCTAAGAGACACGTCATAATCGTCAGCTTGAACGAGAAGTTGTGAAAAATCTGTTGATAAGGTTACGAGAAATTCTGTTTTCATGTTGTATATAAAAATACGAAATTTCAAAGAGGTGCTTTCTTCGAGGCTACTAATCAGTAGACCCTTACCAGTTATCTATTAATATCGGGTATAGTATAGATTTTCAAGTAATGCGATTGGCTAATTTATTATGACGCTAATCCTGTAATCACATAAAATTTTGAACAATTACACATATCGATAGCGATGAAAATTTTCAGTTGGAATGCAGTACGGTAATTTTTATACGTTGTGTGAAGGGGGAAATCATCACCCCGGACGAGTTCTATCCTGATACGATATCTGAGCAATTATTGGCTAATAATAATTATTATTATTCACCTTTTACAGTGCAAATTATTAGTGGCGACTAACATATTCAAAAATTGTTTTTCTTATAATTGTATCTCAGCGAATATTCGGAATTTCAGAATTTCAAAGTACGCATAAATAAACCCAATTAATACGATATAATTAGCACTTTAAACACTCGTGTAAAAATTTAAATGTTATAGTGAGCTCTCGTTATAGTGAATCTATCTTTATAGTGAAGAACAGTTTATATAAAACCCTCTTGATATAATGAAATTACTAATGGACTCTCGATATAGTGAAGAAAATCTCACAACCTGATCACTTCACTATAACGAGAATGACTTGTATCATCATACAGCATATTAATATTTATTAAAATTTGTAAGCGCACCTTATATATTAAAAAAAAAAGTACAATTATGAAACCATGCCATAAAACCAAGAGACAATTTAAATATTTGATCTCATTTAGAGACTGGATCCGTCGATTTAAAACGAATAACCTATTTAATTCATTAAATCGCCGATAACCTGGTCAAGATTAAATTATTCTGATACAACCAGACGATTAGAATCAATTTTATAATAGTTTAGGGTAAAGATCGTCACATCACAAATTCCTGGAATTCTTGCTATTCTCGAAATTCGAGAGAAAATAAGAAAAATGAGAATAGCGAGAAAAATAAGAAAAGCGAGAAAAATTTGAATAACTAGAAAAATAAGAATTCTCGTTAGTCCATTATATGTAAAGAAAGTATATATAAGCAGCGCAAATTACCTTGAATAAAGAACAACTCTTAGAGTTCGAAAAAGTAAAACCTTCAGAGTCTTGAATAGTCTTGAAAAGAAGTGTTTGTTTATCTTTAAATAAATTTCCCTTCAAATTGTTGCAAATCGTTTTATTGAATCGTTAAATCTTTTTTACCTTGTCCCCGTGATAATCTCTCGTTGAATTTCGCCTCGAAATACTTTATTAAACACAAGTTTCCTTTTAGTAAAAGAGCCCAAATTGTTATATCGCATTGTTTTTAGTGACTTAAAATTGATTAAACAATTGATCAATATCGTAATTGTTAGAATCAACCTACCAATAAATTTGTACCCCGTGACACCCAAATCGTAACCAAATCGTGACCAAATCGTGACTTCCGATTAACGTGGCCAAGACAATCCATCAACCCAACTTCTATAACAAAAATACCTACCCAAGTAACCCTAAACTCGGACCAAGTTAACCCTCGCCTCTTTCAAGCCTTATCCAAGCTAGGGTTACCTCTTAGTTGGATTTTTGGATTATCTGTGTAGATTAGCTAAACCCGAACCTCTGTGTAACCAAACCTCTGGACGAGTTCTAACCTAGATAGGGATGTTAATCGGTCCTTTGGGACCGAATCCTGACCGATCCTAACCAATCCGTTCAAGGATCTGTAAGGATTCGATCCTTAAATCACATGATAGATATATGGGACCTAAATCTTGATTATTTTAGGACCTAAATCCTTGATCAGTTTTGGGACCCGGTCCTTTTATAAATCTCAAGAACTGCATTCATTAGACGTTAGATAATGTACTTGTAATAGCAAGGCTTGCCTTTGGCAAGAAGAAATTCTTGCCATTTGCAAGTATTTTTTTTTTTTTTTTTAAAAGGCATACATACACCTTAATGAATAATTTATGGTCTTAGTTTAAGTATAATATGGTTACGAAGTTAAATAATTAGTGACAGAGAAGCTATCGTTGTGTTTAATGGATTTAAAGAATTAGAAACTATTTGTCGTGTCAATAATAGGGGTATGAATCAATTCTATAATAATCATTTTAATTGTTAATCGAATTAGAATCGATTCTTATTTATATATAATCATTCTAGCCATTTCTACAAACAATTATCACACTTTGCAAAAAGATGTAACCTTTTGATTTTTGTGATGATGATCGAAGAAAATTTCTTTGTCTATTAATTATATTTTCGACCATCGATTCTGATTTTTAGAATCGATTTACAGCCTTAGTCAAGAAGTTAACTATCTCGAGAATTGAATATATATTCATAGGTGAGTAAACTTAGTAACATTAATTAATCATCGAGTATTTAATAACAAAAGCAGTTCACTCACACTTATTAACCAACTTTTTTAGAAATAATAAAAGCACTGTTTC